ATGCATGATTAGAGCTTCTCATATGTGAAATACTTACACATACAAAAGGTTATTACAATAAAGACCTTTCTATGTACATCATGCTGAGATGGATGCCATTTTATTGCCTGCTGTTGTTTATCCTAATTTCTTGTTTTCTTCAGAGTTGCCGTCCAGAGGAGAAGTGTGTGCATTTCTTTATATGAAATTCCTCAGAGGCAAAAGTTCAGAATAACAAATATAACTGGCTGGTTTAAAATCCACATCTTTTACGACTTTATTGTCACATGTGAGCCACTCGTTACACAATCACTGCCATGAAACAAACCTCCGCTGGGTTTCTGTTGCCTCTTGACCTCATCACACCCAGCTCGTGCACATTGTAAACACACTTGTGTGTGCCCGTACATGGATTGATCTGCAGATATTTTTGCTCTTTTACTTGTGCGCTTTCCTCTGACCAGAGCAACCACTTTGTTCGAGCCAAGGATTTCATAGGACCGAAACTGCGGGGACCTCTAAATATCTGTCATCTTCGCTGCATCTTGTGTTTTGATTCTTGTAAAAGTTGGCTTTCTTGGAGAGGCGGCTGGGTGAGTTGTGTAAGTGTCCTCACATGGCAGGATGAGCAGAAATGCTGACATCGACTTCCAGGCAGGATGTTGTCACATGGGGGAGGTGAAACTACTTTACACTTCATTAAGTTGTGGAGGATTCAAAGAGGCAGGGGGAACAGCGGAGAGGTAGGGACGTCTTATTTTACATATCACTGACGAAGAGCTGGGATTTTGATGTTTAAGATTCCTACTGTCAGGGCTTTTCACAGTGGAATGCTACTTGATACTTGAGGAACAGTTGACGTTAGTTGCACAACCAAAGTCAAAGGTACTACATGTCTGCAATGGCTTTTAAAGCATTCACAAAAACACAGATCTATGAAAAACATGAAGCTCCAAAAGAAAAGGACAAATTTGGTATCCAGTGCCTCGAGTGCTTTGATCGAAATCTGTATATTGGGACTAAAAATGCGACAGTGCAGCACCTCATCCTACCAAACAGCACCATCGGAGACCTGAGTCCTGGCAAAACCAGAGAAGGTAGAGCGAGAAAACTCGGCTCAAGCAACGCAGTCGTCCAACTGAGAGCAGTCCCGTTGTTCAACCACTTGCTTGTCCTGTGGGACCGCAGCGTCACAGCCCTCAACATGTTCTCCTTAGAGCCGGTTCCTGCTTTGAAAAAAATCCAGCAGGTTTCTTTGTTTGAGGTGTGCGACTCATTGCTCACAGCTCAGGCAGGATGTGTGGAGATGGTGACTTCCTCCAGCCGCAGGAGACTGATCCACATCTACGTGGTGGGAGTGGATAAGTGGGAGGTTGTCAAGGAAGTGCCTCTACATCAGGATCCCGTGGCCTTGGCAGTAGATGGCACCAGTCTGTGCGTAGCCACCTGCGACAGGTATCTCCTCTGTGATGTTGAAACTGGGAGCAAAGAGGAGCTTTTTCCTCACAATCACAACAGGCAGCGTGTCATTGTTACCTCAGCAGGACGAGGGGAATTCCTCCTTAATGGGCCTGAATCTTTGGGTAAGCTCTGCCAAAAATCTTTATGGTACACGTTGTCCTACAGGCTGTCGAGCACAGATGTCGCCATGTGTCGTTATATGCCTCCATTCCAAAGTTAATCAGCTCATATCAGTCCAACATATATTCAAACAGCCAGGGGATATTTGTTTGCCAAGATATCATTTTCTCACCCTCGTCCCCCAGGCATGTTCGTGATGAAGACGGGGATATGCCAGCGCCCTCCCCTGCAGTGGCCTCAGGAGGTGCTGGCAGCCAGAGTATGTTTCCCTTACATTCTCACCCTGCAGCCCCAAGTGCTATCTGTCTACAGCATGTTAGATCAGCAGTGCAAACAGACTGTGAGCCTCCATGGAGCGAAGGGTCTGCTCTCCACGTCAGGTAAACCAGGCGATACACATGGAAAGCCTGTCCAACTGTGGTTTCGTCTTTAAATGATGAGACCGTCTGCCCCAGTTTGCACCGATCTACTCCATCATCCATTGCACTGTAGTGTTCCTACACATCGAGTGTTTCTGAATCCCCTCAGATGGTGTGTTAGCGTTCACAGAGAGAGACATTTTCAGCCTGCGTCTGGTGCCAGTCGAAGAGCAGATCCAGGCGCTCGTAGGACAAGAGAGGGTCGAGGAGGCATTGCTGCTGCTGGATGGAGTTCAGAGCCGTTGTCCACTTGACTCATACAAGGTGAAATGTGATTTGTAGATGTACAGGAAGACGCAAAATATGACCCTGCTCTGAGAATTATGTTTCTTATGGTTCTTTCTTTAATTTAATCATGTAAAATAAAACTGCAGTAGCAAATACTCAATATTGATTTGGCTTGACTTCTTCAGCAGCTGTTTTATAATATTAA